AAAACCAGGGCAAAGTCAAGGAGGGCAGATACCACTGAAGAGTACACAGGTTGGGCTGAATCATTTACCAAGGAAATGGTACTGGGATCTGACACTCCCTTTCCTGCCATGTCTCTGTACTACCATCCCCACTGAAATAAGAACACACAGAGAACCCTGAGGAAACCAAATAGGACTTCAACAGAGAGTCTTAATGAGCACTGACAACCACTGAGCTTCTGTCAGCGATCCTTAATTAAGAGACTATTGAAATTCAGAAAATATCATCAAGGAAATACAAAAATGCCATAGCTGTTAAAAGAGCGATTGGTCTGTTTGGTTATACTTAACTTAGCCTTGGCACAATCTGAATAAGAAACAAGATCAGCAAAGCAGGATGATAAGATTCACTATAATACCAAGCAGGAAAGACTTTGCCGTTTACATACGCATATGTATACATGTTAAAATTCTCTTTAAAAAAGCATCAGCTGGGGAAAAAAACAAAGGATTAAATCACTTAATCATTATTATTATCTTTTTTCTCTCCATACTCTTAGCCCTCTTTGAAATAAAAGCTCCATCCTATGACTTTTAGAGCTGCCTGCCCAACATACAAAAAAATATATAAACACTACACTGTTGTGAATTCTTTGCCATTTTTCCTCAAAATAAAAAATCATCTGGTTTGTGACCAGGTCTCTGGTGCTAATACTCAAAGTTCACACTGAATGAACTGTAATGCTGTGGGAGCAATGTCTCTTACTAAGGAGCATCTGAGATTTGTTCTGGTTTGGTTAATATTGTTGAGATGGGTGGACACAGTATGGAAATTCTTCAAATGAGGTCACAGAGTTAAAGTTTTTCTTTAAAAAAATATGTTGACATGTAGGTGACTTGCCATCTTTAAAAAAATATGTTGACATGTAGGCGACTTGCCAACCAAATATTTAAAAAATAAATAAACTAAAGAAACAGAACATAAAAGACCAATCCTTTAGGTGATTCGTAGGTGAATTAAAATTGAGCATTACTGTAGTTTTAGTTCTGGTCTTTAGGACATCAATGTTCAGAATAAAGTTGGAGTAGTATTTTCTTAAATATTACTTTATTGCACGTGCAACACCCTAAAGGAGTGGTCAGCTTAAACAAAGCCTTGGGCGATAATTGAAACTGCAATAATAAAAAACAAAACATTTATTGAATAAATGCCAACAAGAAAGTAATGGCGAAGTTAAAAGACAGTACCAAAATGTACAAAGCCCAATTACTTTTTTAGTGTTAAAAATGTTGACTTTGTTCAGCACATTGCTTCATTCACTAACTTAAGGTCAATGAGAGCTTTGCTATAATAAACAAAGTGTGAAAAACATTTAGGTCGCCCAAGCCTCTGTTTGCTCTTAAGGGTAAAATAAAACTACAACTACACACTTTTTTGCCCATGATGTCGTGAAAATGCATGTTGACAGCCTGGTCCACTGATTGTTCGGCCTCGAAAGTAATAAATCCAAAACCTAGCCAACGACCAAGAGTGAATCAAGGTAGCAGGGGGGTTGTGACAACACAAGATGAAGAACAGTATTGGGCTCCAGCAGAGTGAGGATCCGTCAAGACTGAGCAACAGGCTCCTGGGGTTCGGATGATGTCGCAGACTTGGAGAACAACACAAATCCAAGACTAAAGCCTGGGGGATTGAGGGAAACTTCTCTTTACTGTGCAGAGAAATATTTTGTA